CAGATGCTGGTGTCATCAGCCTGCAGGGTGAGGCTTCCTTGGGGAGGGTGCGGGGGGCAAGGGAGGTGGGCCTAAGGTGGAGACATGTGGGCTGCACAGAGATTCCAGAGCTTCTGGGCCAGGGGCCCGGCCTTGGCCAATCCCCAAGGCCTGGTCACTGGGTCAAGGATCCTGTCAGAGGGTCTGCCTGGACCCCACCCTGGCAGTGGGCTCTGGGGCTCCCCCTAGGCATCCTCCTCACGTCTGGGGCCAGGTCATCCATCCGTTGCCTCTTAAATCCCCCACACGGTACATGCCTCACGGCAGGTGACCATCTGTGGTCGGCTCACTCCTGGACCACAGGTACCACAAGCCGGGGGCCACGCCCTGGTTTTGTGCCTCCAGGGCCCTGCGCAGACCCTGTCACAGGGCCCCCCACAGGGAACGTGCCAACGGGGCGAGCTGTGCAGCCAGAGCCCCCAGCGCTCGTGAGCCAGGCTCCTCCACTGCCGGCCTCAATTTCCTCGAATGGGGCCCAGGGCTGCCTGCCAGGTGCTGTGTTGGCTGGAAATTTAGGGGGTAATAAAGCTTGGGTTCAGGGTGGGGCTGGTGATAGGTAGGGGGAGGGAGCTTTAACTCGTGACTGCCTAGCGCGGCCTTTCAGTGCCCAGATGCCGTGGGGCTGGGGATCCTGTAGGCTCTTCCTGCCACCAGACCTCTTTCCTCACCTGTAAAATGAGCAAAGACACCAGACGCCCAGGGGCGTTCAGGGGACAGAGGGGCCCAGCCCCCACCTGCCTGCGCATGTAGTGCAATCAAGAGCCAGGGTACGACCTCAGGCAGACTCTGCCCATGTCGGGCCTCAGTTTCCCTGACTGCGCACAGCTGGCCTGGAACTGCTGGGCCCCGGGTCTGTTGCCATCCTCCAAGGCGGGTGACCTTGTCCATGATCGACCTGGCTGGCCTGGCCTGCTTTGCCCTGCAATCGCCATCCCAAGAAAAATCAATAAGGAGTGGGGCCTCGAAGGGCACACTGGGCAGCAGGGACTGGTGACCACACCCCTGGTGCTGCAGGGCCCCCTCTGGGCCGGCTACCCCAACAGGGCTGCTGCCAGCCTCCTCCCCAGTGCCTGGAGCTGGAGGGGATCTGGGAAGCACCCCTGGACATGCACACTGCCTCTGCACGTGTCTGTGGGCCGGAGGACGGAAGGTGGGTGGGCGGTTAGTGTGGTGAAAGTGAAGACCGAGCGGGACAGATGGCTGGTGGGGACGGGTGGGTGAGCCAGTCCCTGCTGGAGGCTGGCAGGGGTGGGGTGCAGGCACGGGGGAGGGGTGTGAGCTCAGAACTGCCAGGGTGCCCTGACCCTTTGCAGTGTGTGGATGCGACCAGCCCCGCACCTTTGTCCAGAGCTATTTCTGGCCTCAGTGTGCTGAGCTGTGGCCTCTTGTCCTGTCGTGTAACCACAGTCTGTGACGTGGCCCTTCCCCGGACATTCCTGGGGTTCAAGCAGGTCTTGAGCTGACGGTGTCCTGGCTGTGCCACAGCTGCCTGCTGACCCTCGCCTCCTGGGGTCTCCCTGGAAACGTCCCCTCCCGACCGCGGTGGCTCAGCACTCACCCTGGGCCCCCTTCCTGCTGAGGCCACAGGGGCTGCCCCTCAGTGTGGGCTGGGTGTGCCTCCTGCCTCTGGGTGGGCACCCCGCCCATTCTTCCTTCTGGACCGTCTCCGGGTGGGCGCAGGCTGGGGCATAACTGTTCACAGCCTCAGTTTTCCTAAACTGTCATGGGTTCAAGATACTGAAGAGAAAGTCGGTTCTTATGCCCATCTGACTCCCACCTTCTACCAGTTGGTGGGCCATCCCAACGACCCCTGGAGCGGTGTTCCTGCCACCCCACGGCAGCAGGAGGCCCAAGGGCCCAGTGCTGTGGGCCTACAAGGCTGCCGGCCCTGCTGTGAGTTTGTGTCCCCACAAGGGCTTGGAGGAGTCACACCCCGGTGTACGTCAGCCAGGCTGGGGGGCACCCGGAATGGTGGCGGCCAGGGAACCCACCGAGGACCTCCCTGCGTCTGCGGCTGCCAGCAGCCCCTGCTCTGAGCTGCTGACCTCAGCAGCCACTGCCTACCGCCCACTGGCTCCTGCGGCTGCGGTGCCGCCCAGAAGCTTCCGCCCCTCCCTCCTCCCTCCCTGCCGCCCCCCCACTGCAGTGCCAACAAAGGGGAGCCTGGGCCGCGAGTGGTGCAGGCGCCTTTCAGGACACCCCAGGCCTGAGGCCCCCAGATGCCTGGGCATCTGGCTCCGAGGCCTTGGCGGGCATTCTCGCCCCGTCTGGCTGCCATGGGGGAGAGGCCCTGAGTGGAGTCCAGTCCCCGTCCCCACTCCCCCCCAGCAGAGAGTCCTTGGGCCACTGCTCCTGAGCCTCGCCGGACCCTCCGTGGGGAGGGTGCTGGAGGAGAGCTCCCGAGCCGGCCGTTCTGGCCTGCGGCCTGAGGACGGAGGCGAGACTCAGCCTCAGGGATGGTGGGAGCAGGACCGCCTCGCGTCTGTGCGAAGCTCGGGTGGCCTGGAGGCCCGGTGTGGGACCTGCTGGCTGCAGGGGCCTCGGGAGCTGGGCCGCGCCGTGGTTTTGGGTATGAGAGCCGGGGCTGTGGCAGGTCTGTTTCCTCGCCACGTGTGCAGAGGTGAGCAGGCACTGGGTGCTGCTGAAAATGAGGACCCAGGCTGGGTGGAGCAGGCTGTGGGGCCGAGAGGAGCCGGGCTGCCCAGCTGGCACCAGGGGCCCCTTGGAAGAGAGAAAGGGGAGGCAGGACGGGGCCTGGGGTGGGGCGACCGGTGGACAGGCAGGACCAGCAAGGGTGTAGGCCTGAAGGCCACAGAGACTCAGCTTGGGACTGCCGAGGCCCTGGAGGACACACTGGGGGACCAGGAGAGCTTTTAGGGTCAGGAAGGGTCAGGTGAGTGGCTGAGTCTGGCCCTGGGGTGGAGTCAGGGGGCACCCTTCTGCTACCTGGTGGCAGCTCCTATGTCCCCAGGGCACCCGCTGTGAATATGAACACATGCTGCAAAGTTGGGTTTGATTATCTCATAAAAAGATGCCCCCTCTGCTTGCTCAGCGATGGGGTTGCCATGGAGACCAGCGGGCAGGCCCCAAGGGGGTGCTGGGCTGGAGCCAATTACCAAGGCCGCTGCAAAGAACAAGCCCACCACCGGCCGCTGAGCTGACAGCGGGGCCCTTGCAGAGGGACCAGCCCTCAGAAGTTGGTTTCCGAAAAGCAGTTGGCTTGGCAGGAATAGAGCCTACTTCCCAGCATGGCTGAGCCATGTGGCTACTCTGCCACTTGCCCCCACAGAGGCTCAGCCCTGGAGCCCTGGTTGGGGGAGCCTTAGGGAGGGAGTAGCCCCAAGCATGTGGCTTATGGCCCCCGGGGCCCAGGGTGGGGAGGGCTGGAGGCTGGAGGAGGTGGCAGGTTCCAGGGAAGTCAGCCGAACCTGACGTCAGTGGCACTCACAGACCGCGGCTCAGGCCTGGGAGTCACGGGGCAGGATGCAATGGTGACAGCCAAGTCAGTGATGTGATGGGCCTGGACACAATGGGTGGCCGCTGACATAGCCTGGCCGGTGATGCGACCCAGTCAGTGGCATGGTGCAGTTGGTGACATCGGCCACTGTAGTCGTGAGGTCCAGAGTCTGGCTGGGTGAGTTTTTGGTGCCCCGCCCCACCTGCCCATGGTCTTCCTCTGCGCCGAGGCCTCCGGGCCAGGACTGGTGTTTTCATAGCACATTTACATCCCATGACAGCAGGTGAGATGCCGGTGGGAGCTGGCGTATTAAGGCCCGGCTTTCCTAAGGAGCTCCGTAAGGAGAGAGCTGGGGGAGGCTGTCAGCAGTTTGAAAAGGGCAGCAGGCCGAGGCGCCCCCTCACAGCCCCCTGTGCAAGGCCAATGGGGAGGGGCACCCAGGGCTTGGGGGGTCCTGGGCATGCCCGTCTCTCTGGACCCCTTTTCTGGGGCTGCCATGTTGCTGGCACCAACAAATGGCCAGCTCCAGCAGCCAGCAAAGCACAAGGGACAGAGGAGGCCCCCAGGGGGCTCCCAAGACCTGGGCACCAGGTCCAAGAGGGCGCACTCCTTGGGACTGCGGAATGTGCTGGGCTTGCTGGGACGCTGGGACTCTGGGCTTGGGGCAAGTGTCTGCATGGGCAGGGGGCCCCCAAGGTCACAGTTCTGGGTGGGGGAAGCTGGCCCCCCTCTGGCTCCAGCCCCAACACTTAGCTGGCCTCCAGTGTGCAGAATCCTGCTCTTAGCCTGCTGCCGAGGAAGGTGTTAGCTGTCAGTGCAGGTGTTAGCTGATAACTCAGGTGTCAGCTGATAAGCCATGACCCTCCCAGGGGGATTCACATTTTAATAGAGTCGCTCTTGAAGGCAGAAAGGACCTTGCATCCAAAGAGGGGGGCTCTGATGGCAGGATTGCAGGCAGTGACCTTACTATTGGACTGTGTGGCCCTGCTGGTGAGACCAGGCTGGGTACAGTGCCCTGGGTCGGGGTCTGCTACCTGGGGAAGGTCTTTGGTGAGGGGGTCTGGCCTGGGCTGGTGGGTCAGAAGATAGGCAGGGACAGCCCTGGGGCTGACAGGGACAGAGGGCAGGCCCCGGGGAGTCAGTGTTTCCTTGAGTCCTGTGAAGGCATCTGCAGGTGTGAGTGTCCATCCCAGGAGGTGTTCAGGTGGGCCTCGGCAGTGATCAGGCGAACCCCAAGTGGTTTGAGTACCAGGCAGGATGGAGTGGGGTGTCAGTGAAGAGGGTTCTGGCGTGGAGCCAGTGACCCCCTGCCAGGTTCTGGTGCACCCACTTGGCATGTAGAGTGGGGCTCCCAGCACCTGAGTTCCCAGGGGAGACAAGACAGCATGTCCTGGGCCTGCCCTCAGGCCCTCCCAAGACCTAGTGCCAGAGGCCAGCCTGGCTCCATCATGACCCGCAGCCTCATAGGGCGCCTACCCTCTAACTGCACCTCCTCTGCCCACAGGGAGCCAGCTGCTGGCCTGGGTGCTGTGGCTGCAGGCCTGGCAGGTGGCAGCGCCTTGCCCGGGTGCCTGTGTGTGCTACAACGAGCCCAAGGTGACAACGAGCTGCCCACAGCAGGGCCTCCTGGCTGTGCCCACCGACATTCCGGCCACCAGCCAGCGTGTCTTCCTGCACGGTAACCACATCGTGCACGTGCCAGCCACAGGCTTCCGTGCTTGCCGCAACCTCACCATCCTGTGGCTGCACTCAAATGCACTGGCCCACATCGATGCCACTGCGTTTGCTGGCCTGGCCCTCCTGGAGCAGCTGGACCTCAGCGACAACCCACAGCTGCATGCCGTGGACCCTGCCACGTTCCATGGCTTGGGCCGCCTGCACACCCTGCACCTGGACCGCTGTGGCCTGCGAGAGCTGGCTCCCGGCCTGTTCCGTGGCCTGGCTGCCCTGCAGTATCTATACCTGCAGGACAACGGGCTGCAGGCCCTGCCCGACGACACCTTCCGCGACCTGGGCAACCTCACTCACCTCTTCCTGCACGGCAACCGCATCCCCAGCGTGCCTGAGCGCGCCTTCCGCGGCCTGCACAGTCTCGACCGCCTCCTCCTGCATCAGAACCGCGTGGCCCGCGTGCACCCCCATGCCTTCCGCGACCTCGGCCGCCTCATGACACTCTACCTGTTTGCCAACAACCTCTCAGCACTGCCCGCAGAGGCCCTGGCACCCCTGCGTGCCCTGCAGTACCTGCGGCTCAACGACAACCCCTGGGTGTGCGACTGCCGTGCACGCCCGCTCTGGGCCTGGCTGCAGCAGTTCCGAGGCTCCTCGTCCGAGCTGCCCTGCAGCCTGCCCCTGCACCTGGCAGGCCGTGACCTTAAGCGCTTGGCCACCTCTGACCTGGAGGGCTGTGCTGTGGCCACAGGGCCCTCCCATCCCTTCTGGACCGGCGGGCCTGCTGGTGAGGAGTCACTGGGACTGCCCAAGTGCTGCCAGCCGGACGCCGCAGATAAGGCCTCAGTGCTAGAGGCTGGGAGCTCAGCCTCGGCTGGCAATGCGCTCAAGGGACGGGTTCCGCCTGGTGACAGCCCGCCAGGCAATGGCTCTGGCCCACGGCACATCAACGACTCTCCCTTCGGGACCCTTCCTGGCTCTGCTGAGCCCCCGCTGACCGCACTGCGGCCTGGGGGCTCTGAGCCCCCAGGGCCCCCCCCCACAGGTCCTCGCCGCAGGCCGGGCTGCTCCCGCAAAAACCGCACCCGCAGCCAGTGCCGTCTGGGCCAGGCAGGCGGGGGTGGCGCTGACACGGAGGGCTCCAGGGCCCCAGGCACCACCTGCAGCCTTGCTCCACTAGGCCTGGCACTGGTGCTGTGGACGGTACTCGGGCCCTGCTGACCCGCCTTTCTTGGCAGCCAGTGTGTGTACATACGGGGCCCCTCCACGCGGCCAGCCAGCATGGGTGGCGGGCCCTCCCTGAAGGACACCCCTGACCCCCACCCCGTCTCCACCCCATCATGTTTACAGGGGGTGGCCGCGGTGTTTGTTCCAGAACACTGCCTCCCTCCCAGATCGCGGTACACAGAGATATGCATTTTATTTTACTTGTGTAAAATTATCGGACGATGTGGAATAAAGAGCTCTTTTCTTAAACAGTGGCCTCTCAGGCTGGAGATGCCACGGACGGTGGGGGTGTGGACCTTGGAAGTGCCCCTGTGTCCCAGGCTTGGGCGCCAGGGCCCCCAGAGGGAAGATTGCACAATGCCGGGATGTGGCCTGGGCTGCAGGTGGCTCCGTGCCAGCCCAGTGCCCACAAAGGCCTCCAGGGACATGCAGGGCCCCTGCCCCTTCCCAGCCACGAGGACTGACGTCAGCGCACCTTGGCCATCTCCCTTTGAGCTGGGCTGCTGGCAGCATCAGGGAAAGCGTATGCAGCACAGACTGCACAGCAGGCTCTCCGGAGCTGGACGAGGACCCTGCCTTTGTGGGAACGTCTGCCCTGGAGCCACCTGGGGTCCCTGGAAGTCCCGGCCTTCACCCCAGAGCCAGCCTCAGCTGCCCCAGCATGGGTGGTCCCAGGAGGAGCCTGTGCCGGTGGGCCAGGTGGCTCTGGTAGGGAACTGGTACATGAGGCCACCCTTCTCCCTTCTGAGGCCTTCAGGGGCCCTGTGAGGCCACCATGCCGCACCCCAGCGCAGACCCTCACGGGTCTGTGTGCCCCTGCATCCACGCATGCACCCATGTGCTTGAAAACAGAGCACACAGCACAGGCAAAAAAAAATATGCACACACACGTTTTCCCAAAGCCTGGGTGGGTGAGAGCGCACAAAGGGGAGAGCCCGCTGCTGCTGGCACCCGTCTCCCTGGGGCCAGGGCCTGGGAGCAGCTGGGGAGGAAGGCGGTGAGATGGACGGGGAGTCTGGGGAGCGGGGCTGGTGCAACCAGATGGCCGGGAGTGGGGCAGGGACCAGGGCCCCAGAAGCCTGGGGTGGGGGGCAGGGGGGGGCAAGGTGTTCAGTAGCCAGGCCAGCTGCCCCGCCCGCAGTGAAGGCTCAGACCCTCCCATCCAGCCCGGGGGTCCGCGCTCCTGCCTTTCCTGGCTGGCCCTCACCCTCCTAGCTGGGCCCTCCTGCATGCCCCATCTCTTCCAGGAGGCCCTTAGGCCTTGGCCCGCGGGTGCTGCCTACCTGCCGTGGACCCTGGCAGTTTGTCCTTCTGCACAGTGGACACTGGTGTGTCCAAGCTCCAAGACCCAGCAGCCTTGTGGCCAGGATTGGGGGGCAGCACAGGCACCCTTGGCAGGTAGGGGGCTGTTAGTCCCAGGCCCATGTCCCAGCCCCAGCGCCAGCCCCAGGACACCCATTGCACCCCCTGGAGAGCCTCCAGAGAGCGGCTCTGTGCAGCGGGGTGTCGCGGTGCTGGCAGCCTCAGACCTGGGCCGGAAGGCCTGCCATCCATGCTCCCTGGCCGCCTGACCCTGTGGCTGCACAGCCTGGCCTGGGATCTTCCAGCCGGTGCAGGGCATTGTCCAGTTTCCTCCTGAGTAGCCCCTGTCATGCCCAAGGAGATGCAGCCAAACTGGCCTTGCCGCCACAGCCACATGCTCCTCCCAGCATCGCGGGGGCCCCTGGCTCACCCGTAGAGGTTCTGCACCTCCCCTGCCCCAGGAGGGAGAAGCCTAGGCGGCAATGGAGTGGGGACAAGGGGCCAGCCAGGTCTTTGGAGGGTGAAACAGTGGAATGGAGGAGCCCAGGTAGACCTGGCGGTGTGTCAGGGGGTCCACAGACCTCGGGGACTTTGTCCCAAGTTGGGCAAGAGCGAGATCTGCTTTCCAGAGAGGGTCCTTCTGGCTGCTGCGTTTGCAGTGGAGGCTTGGGTGGTGGTGGGGGGCAAGCACAGTCCGGCCAGGCTCCCGGAGTCGGGGGGATCCGCAGGAACGGGGCATGTTTTGAGTTGGATCCGGCAGGAGGCATGGGCTGTGGGTACGGCTCCTGGCGTCAGCCCTGAGCAGCCAGTCTGGGGCACCCATTCCGGGGGTGCTGGGGGGGCGCCAGCAGGAGCGGCCGCTGTTGCCGAGGCCTCAGGAGACATCTGGGCGGGGGTGTCGCGTGGGCTGTGCAGGCTGCGCTCAGGAGAGGGGCCCAGGCGGGGGGACAGTTTGGGAGTCGTGAGCGTTCGGGTGATATTTACAGCCCAGGAGGAGATGAGATCACCGGCCGCTGCTGGTGAGGGGCTGGGAGGGGGCAGAAAGGCTGGGCCTGGGGCAGAGGCTCAGCTCCCACCTGCCCCCACCCCAGCCACCTGGTTCCCTGAGGGTGGGCCCGCTGGATCGCGGAGGGCGGGCAGCTGATGCCCAGCGTCAGTCTTCCTGACCCTGAGATCTGCACAGCAAGTTAATGAAAGCCTTGAGAAGCAGTGTTAAGCATGCCAACCTCCCCCGATGCCTGCTGCTGGTTTACCGCGGACAGTCCTGGCCCCCGTCCAGGGATGCCAGGCCAGCCACAGGGCAACCTGTGGACAGAATCCTTCACAGCACACAGCCCCGTCCTTGGGTCCCTGGCCCTGGCCAGGTCAGTGCTGCGAAGAACAATTGGTAGAGGTTGACCCCCGGGGCCAGGGCTTGCAGGGGTGAATGGGGTGGGCAGGCATCCCTCTCGGGGTGCTGGGCTCAGGGCTGGGGTGCTCCTGAGGGTCATTTCTTTGCCAGCCTGACTGTGGGGCCCTGGGAGGGCAGTGAGGTCCTCTGGGGGCCCCCCTGCACTACTACCATCTACCCCGGAGCTGCAGGGCTGGCCCAGGTCCTCAGACAGGAGTGCCTGCCCCTGTTTATCTGGCTGCCCAGGGCTTAACACTGTAATTGGAAGAATTATAGTTTAATCTTTAAATTTGGAAATGACAGAGGCAGTGTGTTCAGCAGCTGACGGCATGCGGGTGTCCAGCGAAGCCGAGAACACGCCAGAGGGAAGTGTCTATTGTTGGAGGAGCTGGGCCCGTGGGTGGCCAGGCACCTGTCCTGGTCACTGCCCTGCCCCAGCTCCCGGCTGCCTCGGCATGAGGCAGTGCCTCACATGAAGTGTCTGCCTTGCGTCCTGGCAGGAAGAGGCTGTGGACACCCCCAGGATGCAGATGAGGCACTGAGGCCCAGACTCCTGAAGTGATGTGTCCGGGCAGTGCACCCGCCTGAGACCACACTTGTTCAGATGCTGCCACCGTGGCTCTGTGGCTGGCATGTGGCTCCCTCGCCACGCCTCGGCTTCCTCACCCCACTGCGGGCGGCAGTCTCCCTGCCTTGTGCCAGTCAGCCCCAGGGCATCTCTCAGCATGTGGATGCGCTCTGAGCTGTGGTGGGGGTGTGCTGTGCTGGCGTGGCTTGTCCCCTGTGGCCCCAGCCCCTCTGGCAGCCTTGCTCCTGGTCCTGCCTCGCACCCCTGCTCCCCAACCTTTACCGCCCTGCAGTGGCTGGGGGCTGGCCTGGGCTTGGCAAGGTCCCCACCCCAGGCCTAGGCAGCCTCAGGGGCACAGAGCTTCCTGGAAGCGACTCTGCTCTCATGGCCAGGTTGGAGTCCCAGGGGAATCGGGGGTTCTGTCTCTTCTCTCCCCTAGAGTGCTCATCCTAGCCAGCAGCCACAGAACACCTCAGAATCCTCTCCCCAGTACCTTCCGCTTTGCTTCAACACAGCACCCTCCTCCAGGAAGTCCTCCATGACGTCCCTAGGCTGATCCTCACCCAATCAAGTGGTTGTGAAATGGATCCACAGTGCCCAGACCTTGCACGGCCAGAGCTTGGGGAAGTCTGAAATCGGGTCCTGGCCCGGGGCAGGTCACCACACCTTGCTGGTCCTTGGTTTTCTTGCTGGTTGTAAGGAATGAGTAAAACTTTCATGTAGGGTCCTTGCATCTCATGAAGCTGCTATGAGAGGGGCCCAGCTTGGGGCCGGCACTGAGGGGCTTGAAGGCTGCTGAGATGGTGGTGGTCCCCAGGGGAGGAGCCAAACAGGGTGTCCCGGTTGCCCCACACAGAGGCTGACCCCCACCCTGCAGGCCTTCTGGGCCCTCAGACCTCAGCAAAGAGCACATGCTTGGATAACCCCCAAGGCCGTGCTGCTAGTGGTGGAGCCGAGTGGGCCACCTGACACCCCTGTGAGCCCGCTGGGACTGGCCTTGGAGATGCCTTACCCTGAGGTCGGCGAGAGCCCAGCCTGCTTGCTGTCCCGAGCATCGTACACTCAGTGCTTCCCAGCTTCCGGTGGCTGGTTGTCGGGTGGGACACGCTGGACAGGGCTCCCAGCCTGTCCCTGGTCCCCAACAGGGACACTTGGCTGCAGGAATGTCCTGCCCTCTGGACTCTGGGTGAGTCCTTCTCGCACTGGGCTTGGTGGAGGGTGGCACCAAGGTTGGGTTGGGGGCGGCACAGGGCCCAGCCAGCTCGGCATCTGCTGGTTCACTGTGTGTCTCACGGGCATCTCTTGTGCGCTAGGTAGGACTAAGGGGCTCCCTCCTGGGAGCCGTTGCCCCGCATGTTCCCCAGCCGCTGTGCCCTGGACAAAGCACAGAGGTGGCACTGTGCCCCTTGGCCGGCCCACCCCCACCAGCTCCTTTGTGGAGAGGGCTGATCAAACCTGTGGCCACCAGCAAACCCCTGGGAACAGGAGGCCTCCGATCTGTCCTCACAAAGGGCTATGTGGAGATTTATGGGCACAGAAGGATCGTCTGTCTCAGGGCAGACAGAGGCGAGCAGCTGGGGCGGGCGCTGCGGGGAGGCCACCCTCTCCCAAAGAGCAGGGCAGCTGCATCTGATGCCCACAGAGGGGAGGCACGGCCAAGGCTCAGGGGGTGCTCGCCGGGGAGGGAGAACATTAAGGGACAGTGAGAATGACGAAGACCTGCGGGGAAAACACCTTGACACGCGCCAGCCCGGGACGGTCTTGGGGACACAGAGCCAGCAGCCTGGTGGCAGGGGCACCCGAGGTGATGGCTCAAGGACAGCCTGATGCTGCACAATAATTTTAGAAAAATGATGGTGCAGAGCCAGCAGAAGCAGGGGTGGGTGCACGGTCGCCGCTGGGCAGAGGGGGCTTCTGGGAGGCAGTCGCTGCTTCAGGTGGACTGAGGAGGGTCTCAGGGCCTTGGGACGTCAGGGGGCTCCGCCTCGG